AAAAAAAAAAAGATTGTTAGATCAGCATTAAGACAGGACAAAAAAAAAAAATGGAGTTTATTTCGAATTTCTGCTCCAGCTGGTGACAGAATTTATGGCATTTTCACCAGGAATTGCCAGGAGGAAACCAACCAGAGCCTCATTTATTTAATATATGTTGTGTTTCTGGGATTTGTCTGCACTCATGGTTGACAAGTTTTAAAAAAAAAAAAAAAAATCTGCTGTAATTCTGTATTTTTAAATAATAAAATTCCCTAAAAGAAAATGTATGAAATAGAGAAATCATCAGGAGCAATGACACCAGATCTCAAATTGGAGGCTGAATAAATTGAATTTAATCACAATAAAATCAGCTTTTTGTACAGAGAAAAATGGGGAGAAACTGGATGGTGTTAAGGGCACTTGTAGCAGTTCAATCATTTAATTATTATCCAAATCTCATCAAAATATTGCCATATAAAAATATTCCTGAGGCCTTTTTGGAAATAGAATTTAATATGCCAAAATTGTCACCGCTGAGAGCATTTTTAAGCTTTTTGGGTTTTTTTTATTACCATAAAGTTACATTTAAAAAATGGTTTATTTGAACAATTTTAATTCAGTTGCTCGGTTTAATACTTGGAGATGCTTTTTACTTCACTTTCTGCATTTTATTTCAAGGAATCAAATAGCAAAACCCTTTGATTTTTCTTCAGAAGAGACAAATCCTGTCAAATAATATGGAAAATATTTGCATAGTTGGCAAGTCTGACTTTTTTTAATTTTTTTTTTTTTTTTCCCTTGGATGATTTTCCATCTAATTTTTGCTTTATTCTGTTTTCAAAAAAAAAAAAAGTAATTTGAAAACTGGAACATGATTTTAAAATGGAGCAGTCAGGTTTTTTTTTTTTTCCCCAGATACAAAATTCTGGGAGTTTCAATCAAAGAAAATTTCAGTAAAAATGGGAAAAATCTGTCAAAAGTCTGTGAGCCACTTTTCTTTCTTGTCATTTATTTTAGAAATTTGGGTAAAAAGATTTATTTTCTGATGTCTCTTGGTGAGAATTATTTCGATTTTCTGTATGTCAGGAGTGACAGTTGGGACTAAAATTGTATCAGTGGATAAATCTGAATATAAATAAAAATGCAGCTCTTTCCTCTTGGTTTTTTATTTTTCTGGACTTAAAACCATTCCCTTGTAAAAATTTTAGAAACTTGATAATGAAAGATTGCAACATTAAAAAATACTAAAAATGAAAATTTATAATAAAAGGTATCAATAAAGAGGCTTGAGAAACATGGAATGTGTGTTTATATAATACAGTGTTGTATAATAATAATATTAAAAATAATAATAGGTATTTATGTAATATAAATCTGGTGTATTTTATGCAATAATTATGTATTAGATGTACTT